CTCCAACTTAATACTTTCTTTCACCGATGGTATTTTAGCCGGTTTCCAAGTTAAAAGCCGGTCGCCTATCCTACGTGGATGCCTACTTGGCGCACCCAATCCTACGTGGATGCCTACTCTTCTTTTTTTTACAATATTCATCATTTTTAATATAAAACTTATATAAATTAATGCAAATAGTTTTTTATTAATAAAAATAGATAAATAATTATAAATAAAATAAAATTATAAATTCAAAATTAACAAAAATAAATAAAAAGATTAAAAATAATTAAATATTAAATATTGGAATTAAAAAATAAAATTGAAATTAAAAAAATTCAAAATTGATTACATTAAAGAAGGGTTTAGAATTAAAACAAATGAAATTGAAAAAAAATTGAGGAAAAAATAAAAAGATTAAAATTAATTAAATATTAATTATTGGAATTGAAAAATAAAATTGAAATTAAAAAATTTCAAAATTGATTACATTAAAGAAGGGTTTAGAATTAAAACAAATGAAATTGAAAAAAATTGAGGAAAAAATAAAAAGATTAAAATTAATTAAATATTAATTATTGGAATTAAAAAATAAAATTGAAATTAAAAAAAAATCAAAATTGATTACATTAAAGAAGGGTTTAGAATTAAAACAAATGAAATTGAAAAAAATTGAGGAAAAAATAAAAAGATTAAAATTAATTAAATATTAATTATTGGAATTAAAAAATAAAATTGAAATTAAAAAAATCAAAATTGATTACATTAAAGAAGGGTTTAGAATTAAAACAAATGAAATTGAAAAAAATTGAGGAAAAAATAAAAAGATTAAAATTAAGGAAATTGAAACAATAAACAATAAAAAGATTAAAACAAATGAAATTCAAAAAAATTTGAGGAAGAAGAAACCTACGGCTGTTGAGATCTGCCACTGCTGAGGAAGAAGTCCACCCAAAAGAAGAAGAAATCTGCCGCTGATGAGATCTGATACTTGACTCCTTCAAATTCTTCTCTCTTCTTCTTTTTTGAAAGAAAATTGGGGAGCCCGTCGGCGGAGTTGGGGAGCCCGTCGGCGGCGAAGCCCTCTAACGACGACGCCTACGTCGAGATCACACTCGACGTCCGGGAGGACTCCGTGGCAGTGCACAGCGTGAAGACGGCCGATGGTGCTGACGTGAAGCCCTATTTTATTTATAATTATTTATCTATTCTTATTAATAAAAAACTATTTGCATTAATTTATATAAGTTATATATTAAAAATGATGAATATTGTAAAAAAAAGAAGAGATGCATCCACGTAGGATTGGGTGCGCCAAATAGGCATCCACGTAGGATAGGCGATCGGCTTTTAACCTGGAAATCGGCTAAAATACCATCGGTGAAAGAAAGTGTTAAGTTGGAGTACTTTTCTAAAAGAAAACAAAGTTGGTATACCGAAATGAAATAAACGTCAAAGTTGGCGTACCATACGTTAAATTTACCTGTAAAAGTTACTAGCACAACTTTTTTCTTTTTGACAATACCGGTAATTCTCGATAACTTTTTTTAAAGTAATCTTTTAGTTGCGTACGACATGGACTACCGAGTCTGGGTGACAATGGGGCGATTTATTTGGGGTACCCCATTTTGTACACCATGCATCCTAACCCTTCATTTATTTTTTTATTTTTAATTTTTTTTCTCTATCTTGTTTTGTGTGGTGGAGATGGAAGGGGGTACAAATGGGGTACCCCAAATGGTGTACCCCTAGCATTTTTGTTTATATAATTGTCACTCCATATATTAGATGGAGGAAAGAAAATAAAGAAAAAATAAAAGGTGAGAATATTTTAATGGAGTTTATTTTCTCTCATTTGATCATTTGGATGTAATAGGGTGGAGGAAAACAAATTTATTTTCCCTCCTAAAAAATAGAAAGAATGGAAAGAAACAAATTCAATGGATTGAGCTACTATTTAAACTTTTTCTCTATTTTGAGAGGGAAAAAAATGATGGAAAAGAGAGGATATTTTTATTCCCTCCTTATTTTTTCTTCTTGTAAAATTTGCACTAAATAGGACTAAAACATAATGATTTTCCCAATGTACGACTTAAACTTTTTTATTCCCTAAATAGGACTTAATAGTGACCTAGTGGGAGGATTAATGTCCAGTAACAATGGAAATTACTTGAATAATGACTACTTGTTAATGACCAAAAGTCCTACATTGAGAAATAAAAACATATGGTCCTATATTGGGAAAGTCATTATGTTTTAGTCCTATTTAGGTAAATTACTCAGAGGGTAAATATGATTGCAAATTTGACACAATAATTTTAACGGGCCTGGTTTTATGATCGATCATTAACCGAAACTATTTTTTGTATCAATATCTAATAAATTTCTTTTTGTATCAATATCTAATATCATTTTTATTTAATTTTGGGTCAAAGTTTACCAATTTTGACCAAAAAAGTCAAAAGTGAACAAATACTCAAGGACGGAGGGAGTAGAACATATTAATTTTTTTGACTTATAAACAGCTTGTAAGTTAGCTTATAAGCACAGAAGAATACGTTTTAAACTAAACTTATTTACATGGAGAAAGACCAAAATAAAGTAAAAGCACCTTGGTTCCCGTGACATTGTGAGGTGCAATTGAAGGGGGTGGGGGTGCGTTCGGGTCAGGGCGGGGTGGGGGGTTTACCGGGGGGGTTAGGGGGGGTAGGAACCGTCAATTTTACGAACGGGGCACCGGAGCACCCCCGGGTTATCCCATGACATTGGTTCCCAATGTCATGGGAACCTTGCCTAAGTAAAAGATATGAAAAGAACCTATCATGTTTTATCCCAAAAAAAAACCAAAATTCATCATTTTATAAGAAATTTGCAATGATTCGATCCATTAAAAAAAGATGTATTTTTCATGCCGCAATGCCACAGTATGTGTCACTATGCAATATTTGCTGAGACAAAAATGTTAAATATTGTAACGTATATGGATAAACATGACGCTGGATAATCACAAACATATTAATTAATGTATATTATCAAAAACACACTTGTTTGGCAGCATACATTCACAATGGATCTAATTAGTAAATGAGCACTGCGTAAAATTTCCATCAATTTCTTCATGTTTACAAAAAAACTTGATGATACACAAAGAGCAAAGTTAGTTGTTGACCCAACACCTCCTCAAAGATAGAGGATTTAAAATAGAAAATGGGCAACAAATGGAATAAGTCCATCTCAAACCATTTACACTAAACTCAAACACATTTTTGAGTATTTGTCACATCATATCTGACATTAATCAACTCTAACCATTCGGCCTACACTTCACTATTCAAAAATTACATAGTTTTTGTTTATTTGTTTCATTGATTATTTTATACAAAAATACTATTTGTAATGCCTGGTTTTTAAGAATAAGGTGAAAATATTTGAAAAACAAGGTGAAACATCAATTGAAAAAAAATTAGATCTAAGAGTTGAAGGTGAATGAAAATTGAGAAATGAGATGAATGATAGCATAAGAAAATTGATAAGATTAAGTAAGGAAAGTGAAAAGAAATGGGGGAAATTTTAAGCATAAAAAATTGATAAAATACATTACTAATTTTAGTCTTAAGTTACTAAATCTAATTAAAACAATCTTATTTTGAAGAAAAAACTCTCCATCGTAGAAAGAATGCTACATAACACAAAACAAAGCAAAAATTTTAAGTTTTTAAAATTTATTTTATTTAAAGATTGGTATAAAAATAAAAAATGTCTACAAATTTAAAAAAAATACGTCAAAAATTTTAGAAAATAAGATGTTACAAGAACAATAGTTTATTTTATCAAATAATAAATGATAACGCACAAACAAAATAAATTTCTGTAATTTTAAATAGTGAAGTGTGATATTCTTTTTGGGACAAAAGGATTATATGATGAATTGTATGGGATAACTAGATTTTATCCTAATTTCATGCAATTACAATAAATTTTATTGATTTGAGAGTTAATTTGATTAGTTTCAAACAAATTCACTCAATATTAGTCAATAATATCAGATGTTAGTGTTAGCATTTTGAAAAAACTCTCTAGGGCATCATTTAATGCTGTCATTTTCAAATTTGATCTACGCCATTACATTTAGGTGTAAAATTAATTATATTCGACTCTATTAAATTTAATTTTATCTAATTTCAACCAAATACACTCAAATAATTTATAAATTTTGCACCCGATTGAATAAAATTCACTTAATTTCACCCAATTTTACTCAATTTTTACCAAATTGTATTGAAATGGAACATAACACTATTTGAATTTATCTTTTATTTTTTTATTTATAAACATAAATACATTAGTAGATGTGAGAAAAATTTGATACATCAAAACTAAATTTTAAAATCAGTTTAATTATATTAAATTTATATCATAATTAAATATATATTTTTTCATAATCTGTAGTCCAAATTTGTAAAATATGACTAAAAAGTCAAAAAGGAAAGATTATTTAGGGTAAAGATAATATAATTTGAAAAAATATAAAATAATATGAGGTATTGAATAAATGATAGATTGATAAATGTGATAAAACATAAAAAGAAACATGGATAATTGAGTTTTAATTAGAAAATAGTATATATCCAAAATATATTTGATCCGAAACCAAAATATATCCAAACCGAACTAGATCCGAAACCGAAGTATATCCTATTCAAATTGTATCCGAACAAGTTTTTAACGAACCGTATCTGAATCGATTCGAAACTGAACCGAACTGAAAAATGTATAGAACCGAATCAAATCCGAACCAAAATTAAATCGATCCGAACCTAACCAAACCATGATAACATATATCTGAAAGATATCCAGACCGAAAAAATCCAACATGAAAGCGATCCGGTTGAACCGGTTGCCACCTCCTAGACCACCAGATTAGTATAAGACCGGGTCACTTCTTCCACCCGGACCGGACCCCTTTTTCATCGCCCTAAGTCTAACACCCCTGACTCCCTGAGTCGTAAGTGGCGCAAAACAACGCGTACGAAGAAGCGAGAGAAATTGTTCGATTTCGTTTCGCCGCTGATAGCGTCGCCGGTCGCTCATCTTTCTTCAGCCGCCGGTCTTCCATCTTCCTGGTACACTCACTATAATTGCAATATGTTATTTAGGCCCTGTATTGCTGACTCCCAGATGCGATGTGTTGCTTTTTGTTTTCACTTCTCCGTCATTTGGTTTTTATTTGTGGTTTTTATATGACAGTTTTCAAATTGATTAATTTTCGAGTTACGAAGTTGAATAAGAGTATATTAATGCAATCATAGCTGAGCATTTAATTAAAAGAAAGTCTAATTTTCAAAATTCATATTTTTTTAATTTGTGGGGTTTTTAATTGCCCTTGATGTCTTCGTGTAGGAAACATAATTTTCCTATTTAAAAACTAAATTCACGCTTAATTCCCACAAAAGCTATAAGGTGAACTTAAAATAAATTCAGTTTGGGCACTAAGGCACCCTAAGGAAACTTACCCATGCCCTACTTTAGTTGGATTCTACTGGGTTGTTGTTGTTGTTGTTGGAAACTTCAAATATTCAATAGAAATCACCCTAAATTGGACTAAAACATAGAGAAAAGTACCAAAATAGGACTTTCATGTTTTTTCCCCCGAAATAGGACTTCACACTTTGGTAATGTGGTTGTAATGTGGCACTGTACATGTGCACATTACTATACTTTTTGGTAATGTACATGACCATGTTTGGTAATGTACATGACCATGTTTGGTAATGTAAATGCATTTTAAGTCCTATTTTGGGAATAAAAACATGGAAGTCTTATTTCGGTATATTTTCAATGGTTTAGTCTTACCTTGGTCTTTCTCCCAATCTTCAGTTCATCTGCAAAAATTACATTCCTTGTCTTCTTTGTTCTTCACGGGATGCCCCAATGCAATTTCTAGGCTTTTTATGACTTTAGTTAGGTCTGTAGTGGATCAATCTTGATACGGAAAACCCTAAAACTATTGAGGGCCCTTGAGGGATCTACTCTAACAGGGAAGTGAAGGTGTTTGTTAAAAGACCCTAGACTCTAGAGACTTCTTATTTGAAGCAGAGTTCACCTGGTTACTGATCGAGGGAGTATATTGCATCTTCATATACATAATTTTTAATTTAAAAGTAAGCTGAGCTGCGCATGTTTATATACTCAATCTGTCCCAAAAAATGAAGTTTACTTCAATGTTGTGAGCTGAATATTTCCTTTTTTTATAAGACACACGCGCGTGCGCACACACACACACACATATACATACACACACACACACATTTATATATGGTGTGATTATGATGATAATGGCTCTCACTGTCAGAAATGAGAATTGTACATTTTTTGTTCATTGCAATGCAAATTTGTGTTGAAAGTAGTTCATATTTCGCGATGGCAGAATACCACCATGTTTTTCAATTTTATTCTAATTTTTTTAATTTTTAAGTAGCCCTTCATCTTATTTTGCAATGGATCATGTGCATTCTCATGTCTCTCATGGTGCATGATTCTTATTTGATCCAAAATCTAGAAAGCTACAATTTAAAGGTGCATGAAAGTGTCAGAATTGTGGGTGCCTGAAAGTGTCAAAAATATAAATTATAGGAGAGAGGTGGTTTCCCCTTCTTCGTTGGAGGTCTAAAATTCAAAGGTCCTCTATGAAATTTGGAACTAACAGAATACATCTTCCCTATCTCTGCTTTATGCATCTTTTGTGTTCTTGTGTTATCTGTGTTACTTAAGCCGGGGGTCTCTTAGAAACAACCTCTCTACTTTTGAGTAGGGGTAATGTCTGCATACACCCCTAGACCCTACTCTCGTGGGATCCAACTGGGTTGTTGTTGTATAGTGTTAAACTGTCATCCTGAAGATATATTGTTCTTTTAAGTTTTAACTTATAAGTTCATCTGATGTATTCTTTTCATACATTTCCCTCATCTTATGCAGCTATTATAGTGGCCATGGCTGAGACAGATGTTGCTGCTTTAATGGATGCTGTACCTTTGCTGATTGAACAGTTGAGCAAGGCATTGTCGGAGCTGGAGTCTCATGAAGATGCTAGCATAAACAAAGCTCAGTTAATGGAAATTCTGGAGCACTTCAGGCAACTTGAGGCAATGATGCTACGCAAGTACCTGGACTTAGACATTAGAGAGAAGGCCTTCTGCGAACAAGAATCTGTTTCTCAAGATCTGATTAGTTCACAGGAGGCAGATGTTGTTAGAAAGGAGCAAGATATGTTGGATCGTATACAAAAACTGAAAGATGCCGCTGCCTCTGCCATAGCTGAAGCATGNCCGTTTGGTGCTGGCTTCACTAGAGGGCTTCTACCCACCTGATGAGCCTAGTGAAAATGGTGAGAAAAAAACCGATATCATTCAGGACATTCGTCGCTCCTGCCTTGTGTGCATAAAAGCCATGGCCACATATTTGGCAATGGCTGATCAAGGCTCTGATTGCACACTGTCCCCTGAAATTATGCAGCAGGCCAAATCCATTGCTGATGAATGGAAGCCTAAAATGGCTAATGCTGCCATTTGTTCTGCCAGTGAGAATTCATTGGAAACTGAGGCATTTTTGCAGCTTCTTGCAACTTTTAGAATTTCTTCAGAGTTTGATGAAGAGGAACTCTGCAAGCTTGTTCTTGCAGGTGCTCACAAAAGGCCAGGGCCTGAGCTCTGCCGTTCTCTTGGCTTAACACACAGAATTTCAGGTTGGTGTTCTTTAACTGACCTGATGGTGTGAAGAGGATTGACTATCTATTCTGAACTTCCTTGTACACCACGCAATCTGAGACCTTTTAAGTATCTGTTTCTTTAGGAGAGGATTGTCTTAATGTTGCTATAATACTTGCGTTGCTCAAACTCACACTTCACTCTTCTCATATCCTGTTTTTTACTTCACTGCCATTTTGTTTTCTTGCAGGTGTAGTCCAAGCATTGATCAATAGAGGGAAGGAAATTGATGCCGCCCATTTTATACATGCATTTCAGCTTACTGAAAGTTTTCCAATTGCTCCCATTTTAAAGGCACACTTAAAGGACCTCAGAAGGAGTTTACAAGGGAAAGGTGCTAGCTCAGGGAATGCAGAGGTAGTTGTGTTCCTACATTTGGGTTTGTTTTAATTATTCATCTGCATAAACATGTTGCATACCTGAAAATGAAAACATAAACCACAAAACCTAGGGTGATCCCACACGTGGTATTTGGGGAGCATAGGGTCAGTGCAGACCTTATGTCTTATTATGTGACTATTCACAAACGCAACTAGCTTGAAAGTATTGTCGACATAGTGTGAGAGATTCTCATCATTTGCCAGGTTTTAGGAAGATGTATGCTATCTTATTTGTGTTCGATACTGGGGCTGTGGTGCACACACAATTCTGACCATCAAAATTAGTAGACGCTAATTTAACAGGCTTTTATTTGATTATATACTGAGGGAGTACTCTATTATACACACAGGGAGTACCGTATTATACACATAGAACACAAGGAAACAAAGGCTAAATCCTAAGACATCGTTGCAAATTATAAACATTGCACTTTTTGCATGTTTTGGTTTAAACTTAAGAGTATTTTACTTTTGTGTATAAGCGTATTAGTATAGAATTAATACTTTATAGGCCAGTAATCTATCTTTGTTGCAGCCATTTTGGGTTGTTCTGGTGTGGTGTCTTGAATGAAACAAATATGCAAATACTTGAGGTGGTAAAAGAATAGCTCTTTGTTAGAGAATAAGACAAAATATGGAACATCATTATTGAAAACACAAGACAACATGTTTTTAATGAGATATCACTTAGTATGGCATCTTCGTTAAACTACTTCATTTTGGTAGGTGTGTTAAGTGGTAACATAGGTGGATTGATGAAGTACCCCTTTTGAGGCCATGTACTGGCATCATTGCGTAATTTTAATGGTATAAAAAGTTAAGTTTTAATTTTGGCACAAAAACTTTGAAAAAATTCAATATAACTCATATTCTTCTTTGATTAAATATTACTAAGTATATTGAAAACAATTATCAATAATGATTACAAAGTAGAAAAACATTTATGGACTTCACACATCAATGTGCTGAATCAAATAGAAATGAAGCTTTTTAGTTTTTATCGTGTCTCTTCGAAAAAAGCTTACATGTTTTCTAAGATTACTAAACTCATAATCGAGAGGTGAAAGATTTGATAAACCATTTGTTGAATTTTTCAAAAACTAGGGAAGTGATGGTGGTTATGTAAAGAAATTGCTAATTCAATTGAACTACATGCAACTAGAATTATTCATCGGTCCAAAACCAAACTTAATCGGACCAGAACGAAAACCAAAATGAAAAAATATGTAGGCCGAAGATCGGACCTATATGTATTCGGTTTTAGATCAAACCGGACCGAAACATATAACATATTAGACCCAACCAATTTGTACCGAATATGTGGGTTTCTCTTAAAAAAATCTAAGTATATCTAAGTGAAAGGTAGCAATTAGTATGCAAAACTTTAAAAATATTGTTATTATAGAAGAATCGAATCAAAGATGTTGGACTTAAAAGACCAATGGACAGAGCCTAGAGATGTCAAAGATGGAGAATGGAAAATCAGAGATGTCGTGCATTGTCACTGATACAATTTGATAATAATTGCTCTTATTGATGATGAAGGATACATCCCTATATATATAGGGATTATAGGAGAGTTCTAATCATAGTAGGAGAATAACTATAGAAAGAATGCAATAAGGAAATAACATAATAAGGAAGGTAATAAATAATAACATTCTATTTCCTAATATATTTGTTATTCCTAATATCCCCGCAAGCCGATCATCGGTAACGAGGAGCAGCTTGGAACACAAGTACTAGAATTGAGCTGGCGAAAGCAGTTTGTGAGAAGTAGAGAGCTAGATTTTTGTTGCATGACGAACGAATTTGAGATTACGTTTATTGAGTTCTTTTTCTTGGTGAGAGTGTTGGCGATTGGAGCGAGGGCGAGGAGTTTTTTTCCTCCTTTTGGGCCGTTCTCTGCTTCTCTATCGCTTTCCATGCTCTCGGGCTCTAGAAGAAAACACAAATGCATTTTTTTTCGTTTTTCAATCATGCACATTATTTTTCGGACGAGAGAGATATTGGATTTTTTTTGCAGAGAAAAAGAGAGAATAGATTTTTTTTGGAGAGAAAAAAAGGGATAATGGACGGCAGCTCTTAGGCACGCTCGTCGAGATCGGTCAGTGACGCCATGCTGTGTGACGGTCGACCGCCATGAACAAAGACCGACGATGTGTTCGGTCAGAAAAGGAAGGGCTAGACCTTAGCTCCGATACCATGATACAGTTTGATAACAATTGCTCTTATTGAATGATGAAAGATGCATCCCTATATATAGGGATTACAGGAGAGAGTTTTATTCATAGTAGGAGAAGAACTATAGTAAGAATACAATAAGGAAATAACATAATGAAGAAGGTAATAAATAATAACATTCTATTTCCTAATATATCCATTATTCCTAATAGTCACATAGAAAAGTGAAAACCTTAGTGCGATCATGCATAGCCGGATGCTATCTGCCTTCAGAGACAGGATGGAAGACGAAGGAACACAAAGACATTGTTGGTCATGGTGAGGGATTGGATTGTCAAGTTGGTGGAGAAAATAGAGTGAACCTCCATTTTAGAATGTAGATATGTGGTGAGTTAGTCTGGACGGCGAGGAAGAAATGAGGAAGTGGGAAGAGTGGGAATTGATAGAGAAAATTAGGGATCTGGGAGAGGCAAAGTACTCAATTTGTGAAATTGGTTATTTCAGTCTTCATCGAAATAATTTAGGGTTTGGATCGGACCAGATATCAATCTTTAAAATATTCATTTTCTTATTCATAACTCTGGTCTCCATATCTTTAAGGTAGCTACTAGTGAAATCATATCTTGTCCAGATAGCAATTTTCTTTAAATATCTTTTGTGAAGGGAAAGCTGCAGAAGAGATATGAGCAGTCCTCTTCTTCATTACACATGAAGGATGCTTTTCTGATCAGTCTCCAGAAACCTACAAAGCCTGCATTTAGTTTGTAGTCTATCTTTGACTATCAACAACATGATGTATTCATGTTTAAGCATAGGTAGCGTTCGTGGTGGTGCTTCAGGATTCCAATGTACTGCGCCCAAGATCAGAACGAGCTTGCCGGCGGACCACTGCCGTCCCATTCTTGAGTGAGCTGGAGCGCAGCCATCTTAGCATGTTGCAGACTTGCAGGACGGGGGAACCAATCTCGTTTGCTTTTCACTGGTAGTGTACTTCTCAGTACGAGGCATGCACCTAAATGCCTCTTTAATCTGATTCAACTTTCTCGAGTAATATCAAACATTGGGCAGTTATTGCTGTCCACATTCGTCAATTTGGGCGAGCTGAACAGGCTTACGTAATTTGTTCATGTTTAGGTGTGGCATTTCGATGAAGAGGCACCATTAAGACACGAGTCTGATGGTTGGTTCTGATTTTTATACCACTGCAAAGAAAGCGCTCATAGGAAAAGGGTCTTCTTACCATGGAAAAATACCAATCACGCTAGAGTTGATTTGACTTTGATACCATGTGAAAGAAAAAGACACTCCCTCCGTCCACTTTGAATCTTCTCAGTTTGAATCGGCACAGATTTTAATGTAGGATGAACAAGTAATTGATTTTCCATATTTTCCCTTTCAATTTTCTTGTATCCGTATTTTCTTCCCCCTTGTAACCCGCCCCTGTCCTTCCTCTTCAATCGTTAAAACGCGCACTTGCCATTCATCTTCAAACCCAAATCTCTTCTTCAACCTCAAATCTATCTCTGCCTTCATGCAACAGAAAGAAATCAAAATCAAAATGGAGAACAAAATAAAAATTGAATTTGTACATAATATGCCAAACACACTAGCGATCTAAGAGATGGAATTGAGAATCTGTGAATAAAAAATGAAAAACACCAGCAACCCAAAAGATTCAAAGAAAAACACAGGCAGCCAAAAAAAAGATAAAAGAAATATGTGATGAGAAGAAACGAGATAAGAAGAAATTAGTTGGGTCTGTGGGTCTGATGAAGATTTTATCAGAAAATTGCCCGTGGGGTCCTGGGACCCCGTAGGGCTCAATGCGGCTGTGCCCTTGGTTCCTACCCCCAACCCTCCACCCCAGTTCTCCCCTTGTGCCCTCACCCTGCACACCCCATCCCTCTCCCGTCCCTTAATCCCAAATTTGGCAGAACATTTTGCCAAATTGGGGATTGAGGGGGGTGAGTGCAGGGGGGCTGGGGTGGGGGGTTTACGGGATGGGTTATAAGGGGGGTAGGAACGGTCAATTTTTATGATTGGAGAACCGTTGGTGTCCCAATTGAACTGGTGTCGTGATTGGTGTATTGGGCAAAGCGAGAGAAGAGAAAAGATGATGAACAGAGCTGGAGAAAAAGACTTCCAGATGAGAAAAGCGGAAGTCATTTTCTGCTAATGAAGGCTTGATTTCCATTTACCGAAGGACATTATCAGCTGAATTACATTTTCTTTTATTGCCAAACGCAAGAGAATGTATACTATTAAATATGCTATTAAACCAAAGACAATTTTAGCAAAAAACTGGTTATTGCTTGAGCACCTTCCGAAATCCAAATCGATCCTAAAATTTTCCTTGGTTTAATAGTGTATTTAATCTAAGTTCCAGTTACCAAGTTCCAATTACAAGTTTTTCAGTTATCAGTTTTTAGAATCTAGTTACATGTCTCCGTTTTCCAAACTCCAATTACCAGACTTAAGGCAAAAAGAACATAGCCTTAGTATCCTAAGTTATAATTGAAATTATTTCTAGATTGACAATGGGTAGTTTTAAAAGAATTAAAATTTTCCTTTTGCTTTTGTAGGATAAATAAATGATTATTGAAGTAAGAGTGAATGTGCTTTGTGTTTGTATGATAAAGTTAATAATTTTATGCTCATCAGTTTTTGAGTCTACGCAAACAAAAACTACTTAAGTGCTTAATTTATGAGCAAACGGCATAACATAGGCAAGAATGTTAGTGAAGAAAAATTGTTAAGTGTAAACCAAGTAATATAGAAAAATTTACTCGAGTAAAAACCAGTTTTTTGCTTTTGGCTTTTGAAGGTTAGAAAAGTGATTATTTAAGCACTTAAAGCCAATGCCAAAGTACCAAACACGAAAATCGCTGAAAAGCACTTTTCATAACCCACAAGCAAACACACCGAATTTGATGCCATAATACTGATAAGGCAGGTTTACATTGTCTCAAATACTGTGTTTCATTAGGGGGATCAAACATTGCTGTCATTTTATTAGAGAAAATAGCATTTTAAGAAGGTACTGTTAAACGCTTTGTTAATTGTGATGATTAATTAGCTGATATGGATACTTTACGCTTTGTCACCGTGAACTGCAGTAGGCTTGCCCAGTTATGTGCATGGTTATTAGTTCTTAAATCTGATCTTATTTAGAATATAGAATATCAAAAGATCATGTACACCTAGATATTTCTTTTCATGCTTTTTCATCAGATTAAATAAGCTCCAAAATAAGTTTTGATGAGACATACAAGCACGAATGGCAGAAAGAAAAGCAAAAGGAAAGATGACCTTAGGGAATCTGTTTCAATTCATATCCTTAACATTTCCTTTCTTTTAATGCACAGACCAATGCAAATGCTCAAGAACTTGCAGCCCTGAAGGGTATAGTTGAGTGTATTCAAGATTACGGTCTTGAAGAGGAGTACCCACTAGATCCACTCCAAAGAAGGATTGCTCAACTGGAATGCTCAAAGACTTACAATATTAGTCTCAATAAAAAGAGATATGCTGAATCACAGGGTAGACAATTGAATCCCAACAAGAAGCCAAATACAAATGGGGTGTCTGCCTCCACTCCAAGATATCCTCCTCTTGCGCATGATTCTCAAACACCAACACCACATGCGCAGCAGGAATATGACCCGAGATCGCATCATAATTATTATCATCATCCAGCTGATGAAAAGGTGGCCTCGACTTTGCACTCTTCTGCTACTGCATTTAGTCACGGGGTAGGCAAGTGAATTGCAGGGCACTGCGCGCCAACCGTAGATATCTCAATGAGTTTGAAGAGCTTTTGCTTAGAAAAGACCGCCCTGACTTTTTCATCATTGTTGGAATGAATTGTGTTTTTAATATCTCATATCGAATCATTTTCTTGAAAGTATAATGTATGATTTTGTGTTTAGCTTAGCCTTAGGGGTAGAGGCCTAAACTCACTTCCTGGCATGTGCCCAACTCTACTTTCTTCATCTTAGATTAACTAAAAAGACACTACGTCAAAGGACTTTGATCTGGCTTCGTTTCAAGGGTACTGAAAGGTATTTACTTCCCTGATCTATTCATTCCTTTGATTACTTATGGTGGCTTTTTCGAAAATAGAGTTAGTGTAAGTTACCCTTCCCCCTCCTCCCCCCTCGGTGTTTGTTCACGGTTAGATATTGTAATTTTTTTAAGGGTCTGTTTGGTATAAGGAATTGGTGGAATTGGAATTGAAATTCCATAGGATTCAATTCCATAGAATTGAATTCTGTCAATTTCAATTCATTTTCTGCACTATCAATTTCAAATCTACATAATTTTTGTGCTACCAAACACCAGAATTGGAATTGAAGTCTCTAATTCCAATTCCATAGTTTGAATTCCATGTACAAATGGGACCTAAAGGTGCAATTCAGGTGACATAGGGATTCAAAATCATTCAGTGACACTGGATCTAATTGGGCTATGTTAATTTATTCATGTACGTATCTATAATACACAAATTTTTCATTCCAAACTTATTTACAAATTTTTATGTGTATAAATAGTAGAAATCCTTACAAGTTCCTTTGATTGACTACAACACCCCGAGTTTAGAATGTTATATTCTAGATCAGACGAATTTACTTGATTTTTTTCCTTTTAAAATATAAAGTGTAATTTACTTAAATAGTACTAAACATAGTAATTATTCCAATGTAATATCATTGGTTATTGTCTACTGGTCATTGTTCAAGTAATAGAAGCAAAATCACATTTTTAGTAACATGTTAGCTTTTTTTGGTCTAATCTTCAATCTGAGAGAGAGTTCAACGCTTCTAAGGGAATAAGAGAGTAAAAAGTAGTTCTACTTCCTTCTAGAAAACATTTTCTTTCTTTTTTTCCTTTTTTTGAGGAATTCTTCTCAAAAATATATAAAAGCAAAACACACACAAGAAAAAATAGGCTGAAAGTGCCTCACGCAAGACAAGACTAGCTGACCGCGGAGGAATGATATTTCCACGCCAGTAAGATTGGCTTTTCATGCGATGTGGCAAGGGGTGGTAAATGGATGAATTGCCGCTGCTGATGCTCTAATAAGGGGAGGGAGTATTTTGAGAGGAGTGGAAAAAAGAAGGTGAGGAAAAGATATATAGAATGAAGACGATTGAGCACCGTAGCATTTACTCAACGGATACGACTTGTAAAGACATTCTCTCTCTGTTTCATAAAACTCTTCCCTTTTCATTTTTTTCCAATTTCTTAAAACAATTCTAGTTTCGATTAAAAAATTACTTTTACCCTTATTTTTTCATACCATATCTATCACATCATACTTTTTTACTAATAATCAAACTATCACATCTTACTTCTACCCATCACATTAATGACAAAATTGAAAAGTCGACTAAAATTATAGTTTTTTTATTTTGGCTCAAAGTCAAAATAAAAAGAGTATAGAATGAAAACCATCTAGCACCGCCGTAGCATTTACTCAACCGAGACGACTTGTAAAGAACGGTAACCATCAAACAAATCCCCCCTTCTCTTTATAAATTCTTGCTTTCATATTTAAGTTCATCGGCGTAGTCGATCACCAGTCCAGTCTTAGCTTCGATACAGTATCTTCTTAGCTCGATCAAATAACACATATAATGGCTATGGAGATGTTTCACAATGCCAAGGTGGTGCGGCTGAGGAGCCACCTGAACAAGTACTTAGTGGCGGACGAGGATGGACGGCAAACCCGACAGAGCAGGACAGGCGGCGCGTCGAGGAACTCCAGGTGGAGCGTGGAGGCGGTGGAGGGCAACGGCAACGCCGTTCGCCTCAAGAGCTGCCAGGCCGGCCGCTACCTTACCGCCTCCGACGAACCCCTTTTCCTCGGCGTCACCGGAAACAAGGTCACCCTTTCCCTCCCGGAAAACATCAAAGATTTGCGCATTGAGTGGCACCCTTTCAAAGATGGCGGGTTTCATCAGGTCTATATCTAATTAATTAACATCACTTTTTTTTTACTTCTCATTTATTAGTGATCCCTTACTCAAATTGGTCTTTCTATTTCGTTTTTACTCAAATTAATCTTTATAAATAAAATAACCTCTCCCTCCCAAAAATATTATCGCTTTAGTCAAATTATGTTAAATTTTGATTACAAATTCTTAGAAATTTATAAAGTAACTCATTCATACACGTACTGAATCGGTATTAAAAATTCATGTAGATAAAATTGCGGGCATACGGCGGAACTTTTTTGAGGGCCAACGGCGGAGTGCCGCCGTGGAGGAACTCAATAACGCATGACAATGTACTACCTCAAACAACTTCAACCAACAATTGGATTTTGTGGAACGTGGATGCCGTCGATGAGGCGCCGGAAAACGGGACACCGACGGATTGTTTGTCGGCGGCATCTAGCTTCTCTTCCATCTCCAGTCAACTTTCCGGCCTCAATTTGGGTTCCCCGAGTTCCGCACCCTCAACTTCTTCTCCCGGGATATCTAAGGTGCGTTTGTATGTTTGGGCTACTAGCTCCCTCCTCCTCCCAAAATAAGATCATGTCTCCTGTCGAGAGTATTCATATAATATTGTTTTTTTAATTATTAAACTAGACAAATTTTCGTCCCCTAGGAGCGGGCCATAATTTGTTAAGACTAAAATAAAAGTTCACACTCTCACACTCACTACATTGTCACATTGCAACTGACATACTAACATCACCACACTATCACAAGCACCAGAGTGCCGTGGATCGTCAATGATTGACTAATCACACTGACATACTCTCTCCGTTCCACAAAACCCTCCCGGTTTTGACTTTGGGGAAAATAAGGAAAGTGTAATTTTGGTTGACTTTCCAATTTTGCCTCTGATGTGATGGAAAAAGTAAGATGTGATTGTTGGGCTATTAGTGAAAAATTATGATGTGATAGGTAGGGTATGAAAAAGTAGGGGTAAAAATAGTTTTTTAATAGAAAGTGGAAGTGTTTTGTGGAAAGCAAAAAAACGAAAGAGGAAGAGTTTTGTGGAACGGAGGGAGTATTATACAGTAATATAGTAATAATAATTTATTGATTTGATTAATGCAGTTGCCGTTGCTATTATTATCATTTTATTATAATTATAGCAATAGAAATAATACTCTCTCTATCCATTAATTTCTTTCTCTATTTCCTATTTGGGTCGTCCATTTTTTTTTTCCATTAGCTATTTTGGCAACAACATTTTAATGAGTGTGACATTATACTCCCACATTTTATCTACACTATTCAATTTATTTTATCACATCAAAAGAAAACATAAAAAGTCTTTATACTTTAATTTTTCTTAATTTTCGTGTCAAGTCAAACAAGAATTTTTTTTTAGACAGAGGGAGTAATAATTATTCATTCGGGCTTGATCATAAAACTCAAGCCCGACCCCAAAGTTTGTGGGCCTATGTTTATAAAGCCCAAGTTGAGTTTGGCATGTAACCTAAAGTATCAAGCCCAATCATGCTATATATTTTGCGGACGGGCCAAGTACTCAACCCCGTGATCGGATCTAGTTAGAGTATAAAATCTTTCATGGCCCACAAGTTTGATTTGAGCTTTAATTTTGATTGAGTTGTTTTATTAACATAGTATCAAAGTCTTGCTCAATTAGGGGCCACGAGTTCAAAACCTCAACGCCACTCAATTTTTAAAAATTAATTCTCATATGCAACACTCGAGCAAAACTAAATCTCACCTGCACGTGGGGACAGACATTAGAGTATAAAACCTTTTCTGTGCTACCAATACTGAATACCGAGTATGTGTGTGTCTATATGTGTGTGTCTATATATGTGTGTGTGTGTGTGTGTATGTATGTATGTATGTATGTATATATGTGTGTGTGTGTGTGTATGTATGTGTGTGTGTGTGTATATATATATATATTTGCAACTTGTTTTTATTATTTTTTATACAATTTTTGAAATAAATTGAATTTAAAAAATTTGAGATTTTACCTTATTACGTGTTGGTATCCATGTAATTATTTAAGGATGTAGAGAGTGTTATTTTTAGATCATTTTATTTAATTTAAATATTGATGTAAAACTTAAAGTGCTTGGTAAGATTTATTATATGTTTTCAAAAGAATAATATCTATCATTAGTTCTTTATAACAAGGAGTTTTCCATATTTAGTTCTTAAATATTAAATATTACAATTGTGATCTTTCTTTTAAGGGTATTGACCAATACAACATCTGTAGACTATGATTCTAGTAAATAGCGACTTTAGTTTATAAACGACACATCAACATTGACCTCTGGCATTGGCTATGACTAGAAAGATATATATGACCATTTTGGAATTATAATTTTACTTCTCAATTTAATACCAACTTGGCAAAAGGTTAAAAAAAGGTCTATTCGGAAAAAGGTACCCATAAAACCATGTCACGAGTGTAATATTTGACAATAAAAGACGAAATATGGAAAATCTTCGTTTTAAACTAAAGGACCATTTTTAAAATTTTACTCTTTTAAAAATTACAAAGTACATCAAAAGATTTGCATAATAATGGGTGACATGAGTACATGACTATATGATTTTATATTCTTATCAAATAATATACTCCATATCAAAATATGTAACAAAAGAAAAATTAATTTGATCTCTGAATAATAGTTATGGTATGTGACGAACATCGTATCGGATTGGAAATTAAAGAACTTTGAGCATCTTCAGACTCCAAAAGAAAGAGAGGAGAAACATGGAAAATTTCAGGCGTTTCTAAGCTTCCGAGAAGAGAAGAAAAGATTGAGAATTTGATATTATTTCTGATAATTAACGTGAGAGGTGCATCTCTATTTATAGTGTAAAGAAATCCTAATTCTAACCCTGGCATTGTTGATTCAATAAATGGGTATAGGTAAAGAATCGAAAAGAACCTCTCGAAGCTAAGAGCTTATATTCCACTCACTTAATAAAATTAGATTACAATATATAAATTTAATGATAAATTTTAACTAATAAGTAAATAGTAACTTATAAATAAATAATTAAATATCCTAAGCTGCAATCCGTGTCATGGTAGAGTCTAGCAGTGACTACGATTCAATTCTCTTTGGAAATTGATTGTCAAGTTACTTTATCACTAATAATTTTGTTAAAATGCAGTACTACCTCCGTCTCTAAATAAATTTCCCTTTTTGACTTTTTGAGGATTTAAAGGAGAGATATTTTTGTGTTGACTTTCCAAAAATACCCTTGATGTGATGTGTATAAGTAAGATGTGATATGTAGATTATTAGTAAAAAGATATGATGTGATAGGTAGGGTATGAAAAAGTAAAGGGTAAAAGGGGTTTTTTAAGGAAAAAGAGAAGTTTATTTGGGGACAAAGAAAAAACGAAAGGGAAAATTTATTTAGGGACGGATGGAGTATCTGTTTAACATACATTTGTCAAACTATTGAAACGCAAAGAATTTGCCATCACACGAGTCTAAACCTCGATCTTCCATTTGGATGAACATGATTCAAGATTTTGATTAGCGGCCATGACCGACTAGTGGCGTTGGCATTTTGGGTGAAACCTTAACTTGGAGTATATTATGGGCAAAGTGATGGGGTTTTAAATATTGGAGTATTATTGTTTAAACTAAATATTATATTATGCATTTTGTATTTCTTGATATTGTTGCATTGCTTGCACTATTATTCTAGAGTCTGATATGTTAAACGTACAAGGATAGAGAAGAACTTCGAGCGTATTCAAGCTCCAAATGGAAAACTTCGAGCATTTCTGGACTCCATAGAAAAGAGAGATGAGATAATAAGAGAATTCTTGATTATTGATTAATTGAATAATAATAACGAAGGGTTACAATATATAAAGAATGCAAATAACCTAATTGACCTAATGGGCTCGGGCCCATACTTAAACCCTAGACCATCACTAAATAATACTAATAAATAACTGCTAAATAATAATATAACTAATTAAAATATTATAATTAACTATCCGTATCATTCCCACCCTCTTAGAAAACCACTTTGTCCTCAAGGTGGAGGTTTCCACTCATGTTTTTGGATAGTTGAGAAAGTGATGAACAAAAGAAGATGTTCACTTGTTGACCAATCTTTACCCGGCTTGACTTTTGGGGCGCGGTGCGGGAAATATGGGTGACACCCAAAAATAACATGTCTAGCAGCTCCCTTCAAATCTTGATTCTCCGGCTTGATGATAAGGGGGTGGTGAGACATCATGATTGTGTGAGACCAAAATAAAGAAAGAGGGTGTTGGCTATTTGGGTCGATGACACATCTCAATGTTTGGCCCTTTGCGACATCTCCAGTACAAGGAGTACACTCGAGCTTGTAGTTCGCTTCACCCTCGCCACCAGGGGTACGTATCCCCCTCTTCCCCCATGGCATCAGACCCACTGTATATGTCATCCTCAACGTGTGCTCCAGCACTCAATTTCTGAGATCCACCTTTGTCCATGACAACAAGTGTTGGGTGCGCAACTACTCCTTCCTCTGCCTGAATAACTATGTCTTGGGCCTCTTCGGGTATCTTCTCCATAAAGACGTAATGAAAAGGATCAAATCGAATTTTGAACTTGTGCACAAAATCATCCCAATCATTAATGAGCCCGTAATTCATACGGCAACAGAACAAATCTGTAGCGGCCCCTTCCAACATCAATGTCACATATTGCAAACGATCCTTTGAGGGGGTTTCATAATATGCAAAGTATTCTTTTACCAAATGCAACCAACGCACGGGTTCAGAGCCATCACTCTTGGGTATTTCCAGCTTGGGTGTATGGGTGACTTCGTTAATGCTACTGACGAAAGACTCTGCCAAGTGGGTTTGAATTTTCGACAACGCGGCATCTAGCCGATCGAATCGATATTCCATTACTTTTTGCACCTGCACGAACACCTGGCCAAGATCACGAACCTGGGGGCAGAGATCTATGCTCGTGGATGCTGTATGGGTCATGGTGGCACTCCTCAATGTTGCGTATTTCCAACTTTTGTCTTGGGTGATTTTTTTTACAAAACAATGGCAAAATGAAGAGGTGGCAACAAAAAATCCAAGGCAATTACTCTGAAAATATGGGTACGGCCGGCAAACTCCCTTTTTGCAGTATTTTTTTTAAATTAATTGATGCACTCATGCATCAGACGAAAAGTATTGAACCTGAAACCCAAGGCGTGCCGCAAATTTCTTGATTAGGATCTGCTTAATCCTCCCGGTGACGGCGGTGCTTCACCTATCTACTCTTGATAAGCTGCTTTGCACTTTGCTTTACTTTTTTTTCTCTTTGTGCGGCTGTGAGGCAGATTTGGTCAACGGCAAGCAATTTGGCAATGGCTGAGTTTATGGAGACGACGACGGCAGAATAGTGCCACGTGCGGTCTGGGCGGCACCACGCGATCTAGCGGCGGAAATCTAGTTTGAGCAAGGCCCTTGCTATGCCGAAGAATTATCCGTCGCCTAAGGATCAGAGAGGAATTGGTGGGGCGGCAACACGCGATCTAGCGGCGGCGATATAGTTTGAACAAGGCCTGCAAGCCAAATTTGTTGGTTTACTGCTAGTGATGACAATTTTTTTGGAGGATATCTCTCAACGAGAGCACTTTGATACGTTAAACGTACAAGTATAGAGAAGAACTTCGAGCGTCTTCAACCTCCAAATGGAAAATTTCGAGCGTTTCCGGACTCCAGAGAAAAGAGAGAAGAGATAATAAGAGAATTCTTGATTATTGATTGATTGAATAATAATAATAACAAAGGGTTACAATATATAAAGAATGCAAATAACCTAATTGACTTAATGGGCTCGGGCCCATACTAAAACCCTAGACCATCACTAAATAATACTCCCTCCGTCCCGGAAAACATGGGAGTTTTGGTTTTGGAGAAGGATTTAAGGGGAGTGTATTTTGGTATTGAATTTCCAAAAATGTCTTTTGATGTGATGGGTAAAAGTATGATTTGATGGATAGATTATTAGTTAAAAGGTATGATGTGATATGTAGGGTATGAAAAAGTAAGGGGTAAAAGTGACTTTTTAATAGAAATGAGAAGTGTTTTTTGGGACGGATGAAAAAAGAAAGGAGAAAACTTTTCTGAGACGGAGGGAGTAATAAATAACTACTAAATAATAATATAACTAATTAAAATATTATAATTAACTATCTGTATCAGAGTCCCAAAATGTGAAACCTTCCCCTTTATAAGTTAAGAAACCAGTTCAAGCAAAAATTTAACTTTGTGGTTGTAAGCCGAGGATATATTTCATACTCTAACACCCTCCTCATATGCAGGAGAGATTTATTTTTGCTCGAACCTTACACGTGAAATTTTATTTTCTTAAAACTTAGTGGCAGTGAGATTTGAACTCCTGATCTCTTGGTCATCAGAGCTCTAATACAATTTCAAAAAACTAAGTTAACCAAAAGCTTAAGTTTGTGATTGTACGTCTAAGATATATTTCATACTCTAACATTAAATGTGACATATTTTTTCCATTTCAAAAACCTAGTTTGTGGTACTTATACGTCTCATACATACTCCATCCGTCCCTTTAAACATGGAATGTTTTGATTTTGAAGAGATTTAAGGGGAGTGTATTTTGGTATTGAATTTTTCAAAAATGTCCTTTGATGTGATGGGTAAAAGTAGAATTTGATGGATACATTATTAGTAAAAAGGTATGATGTGATAGATAGGGTATGAAAAAGTAAGGGATAAAAGTGACTTTTTAATAGAAATAAAAAGTGTTTTTTGGGACGGATGAAAAAAAGAATAGAGAAAGGTTTTCAGTATCGGAGGTGTATTTCATACTCTAACATTAAATGTGACATATTTTTCCATTCCAAAAAACTCAATTATCATGCATATGTAGCAGACACCTTTACCAACAAATCCTGCAATGGAGATCTTCCACATGGCTAAGAAGGTGCGGTTGGTTAGCCACCACAAAAAGTACTTAATTGCGGACGAGGACGAAGAGTCGGTGATCCAAGGTAGGAGAGGCGCCGCCGACAACGCACGGTGGTCGGTGGAGTACCCTGAGAATACCAACAACCTCGTCCGCCTGAAAAGCTATTATGGTAAGTACTTGACCGCTTCGAACCACCCGTTCCTGCTTGGCATGACTGGCCGGAAAGTTCTGCAGACTTTGCCCGACCCCCTCAATTCCTCCGTGGAGTGGGAACCTATTATGGAAGGCAAACTCGTGAAACTTAAGACCAGGTATGCATTAATTAAGTGCTCAGTTATCATGCATCAACTTTACCTCGTCATTTAACTTTTAACTTAATAATGATACAATTTGATAATAATTAAGCGTGGCTGAGTCGTAGACGATCAACTATGTTCAGTTGAATGATTGATGGGGTCGGGTTAAAGATGGGCATTTTAGTCCATTTTGAAGAAATTAAGATGTTTTATAGGACGGATAATATGAGAATGTTGAAATATTTTGTAAGACGGTGGGAGTGTACTTTAATCCAATAGGGCAAAGTCCATTTTTTGTCTCATGCAGGCCACCAAGGTCGGCCATGGTATAGTCACACGTACACCTCACCTTTATTCTACTGTCGTAGGACTCAATAAGGTTATTATTCTTTGTACTCTATTATTTGATTGATGAGTATTTTTTTTTGAATGAATGTAAAGGATTTACATTATAATTGCAGCTACTTTTCTATATTCTAATTTAATACCGTTTACAAAGTATTCTAATTAAAAGAAATGTTTAGTAAGGTCATGTTCTCCCCAACTTATTTTTTACTTATTACTTATTCTCATTGGAATCAGATCGGATCAAAAATAACTTTAAATATAACTTTATTCAGATCAGATCAAATCAAATGAGAATTTATTCAAATCAGATCCAGTGAACAGAACACGACCTAAGATTTTAAAGTTCGATCCAATGCTTAACTACATTTTAATCATATTCAGCTAAATCTCCTAATGAATAGGATTTTCTTCTAAAGCTGATGAATATATACACATATGAATAGTAATTAAAATGAATGAAAATTTGGTTGACACAGGAGCGGGAGATTCTTGAGAGCCAACGGTGGGCTTCCGCCGTGGAGAAACTCCGTTACTCACGATACCTCCACTCATAAGATGGCGGTAGAAGATTGGCTTCTCTGGGACGTTCATGTTTTGGAAATTGTGGTGTCTTAATTATATATTATACTAATTTTTATTGTTTTATAAGTTTTGCCCATACAAACTTTAGAGGCTAAGAGATCAAAGAATTGTTTTGTTATGTTAATTTGAACTCAACATGTTTTGTTGTGTTTGAACTAAAGAATTGTTTTTAGCCAATTGTGTGAAGGTTCGTGGGGGTGCAGCGGAAATCACCAATTAAGAGCTATGCAAACAAATCAATCAATTATGCTGTAGAGAAAACGCTGCAGCACTGCCACAGTAATAGATGACGGACAGTGTGCTATAACACTTTTCTGTCACAAGCACACACAGAAGCAGATGACGCAGAGTGTGTTACAGCGCCCACTCGGTAGAATTCTGTAACTATAAAATGCGTAAAAAATAACACCAGATATGTTTACGCAGTTCGGAGCAAATTCTCCTAGTCTGCGGGGCCCACGTCCGTGTAATAGCCCTCCACTAAATCACTAGATGCAAGTTACACCGGTACATAACAACATGATGAGACACACTTCTCCGAATTGTTATGACAAAACTTATAATCTAGGATTTCTAACCCGAACTCTGTTCAGATCCGCTTCGGCTATCACATCTCCACCGAGATCACGAGGATAAACGTGTTGGCAGCCCTCTCCTTAAGACCTTGTCCACCTCCTGGTTGTCACGATCTGTTTTTCGTTGTAGGACTCCTTCTTCATGTAGATCGTATCTTTCTTCACGCAAGGGAAGCTCCGGGACGCGACGGGAATGCTCTACATCGGCGTATATTCTTTGTTTTCCCTCTCAATCGCTCCAAGTAATTCCCAGGGACCTGCTGCGTATTTATAGGCTTCTCTTAACACATTCCTAGTAGAAATAGGTTAGTAGAAGTTGGCTTGAACTCTACTTCCTTAATCTTGATCCGCAAGTAGCCTAAAGAGTTGGGATTCCTTAGCATGTACAGCTGGAGATATTATCATGTAATCACAATCCAAATAGGTCTCTAATTCAGATTGCAGCTTAAAATCCCGTGCTCAGACCTCTGATCCCGAATAATGTGTTGCAGCATCGTGCTGTAGCATCTTCTGTGTCAACCTCAAAAACTACAGCAACTCTAGAATTCTAAATAAAATAAACCTCTCCTAACAAATAGAGGTTTCTACATAGTAAAACACCTAACAAATATTGCCAAAAGATTAGCCAACACCATGGAGCTAACATTGTGCTTAAACTATACAATATAAACCCATCAGATAATCGTCTATGAATTTTGAATACATATGTGCTATTAATCATAAAAAGTCGAAAACCACTTGGTTGATTCGGACGCCAAAAACCAATGCTGATAACAAACTCCGAAAATCAAAGGTTATGGTTTTTGAAAAGCAAGCATTTGGAGAACCTTTAAATGCACCCAAAAGCAAAAACCAAGGATAAATACTAAAAAACTATTTGACTAAAATGAATGCCAATAACCAGCGCCGAACACCGATAACCAACACTGAAAATCAAAGGTTATGGTTTTTGAAAATTAAACATTTTGATTTAAATGTGTGCAGAAGCAAAAACCAAAGAGAAAAAACTCAAAAACCATTTGGGTAAAATCAATTCCAATAACCAACGCCGAAAACCGAACACTGATATTCAATGGTTATGGTTTTGGTTGGGCAAGGACCAGGAGTTTTGGAAACTTAAAACCATTTGTGAAAACAATATAGTTTGATGCATGAAAAAACATATTTTATATTGAGCCATGACTTAGAGAAATTGAATGACCTTGTTACAATAAAAACTGAAGTCTTTAGATCTAGACAACGTCTTCAAAATGTCAGTGTCGCCGTCTTTAGAAATGCCAATGTCTTTCTTGTGTTTTTTGTTCCTTCAAAGAACTTTTGCAATGACTTTGAAGCTTTTCATTTTGTTCCATGTTCCCGATGGTTTGTCAATATCAAAACCTAAACGGAAGCAAACATTGTCAATAACAAAACATCAATGTGAAAACACTTTGTGTGCACCCGTCCAATCTCAGTTTAAACCCTCATGCCGGGTCGAGCGCATTGAGGATTTTGCTTCCTCTTGTTGCACTTATTGCCACCACTAGTAACATCTCGCTGAAAAAGAACGAAAGATGAGAGTTCTTCTCTCTTCGTCAGATAAGATGGTGTCATTTTTTAAAAAAGTATAGGATATTTTTTAGGTGGGGTGTAGAGAGAATTTAGAATATAGAATAATTTTTGTATGAGTTGTAGAGAGATTGGGTGTATGTATATTTTGAGAGGGTATTTATAGTTAAAAAAAATTAATTTTTTTAAAATAGCCCAATAGCTTCTTCTTCTTCTTCTTCTTCTTCTTCTGCTTCTTCTTCCTTTCTCGCATTAAATGTTTATCGAAATACTGATGACGTCTTGTTGGGATTCCTCCAAGTCCCACACCGGATGAGTAGGAGTAAATGAACCAAAAATATATAGGTTCACCCAACCCCATATTATGAGGCCTTTTGGGAGGTGCCCAAAAACAAATCCGTGAGGGCTTGGCCCAGAGCGGACAATATCATACTAATGCGGGGTTGGGGTGAGAGCACACGCAGTCTCAACATGTGGTATCAGAGCCCAGGTTCTTGCGGGCATGAGCAGCGGACTGTGCAGTGTGGATAAATCTCGGTGTGACGGTGTAACAATAGGACCAAGACCTAGAAAGAGGATCTGCAAGTGGTGCCTTGTGTCGAAAGTCTTCCCGACGAGAGGAGGTCGGGCGGCGCGTCCCGTGAAGTTATAGCCACAGCGGTACAAGATGATTTGGCGGATCAAATGGTGTAGCCCAGCGAAGGAAAGATCTGTGGTTCGAGCCTTGCGTTGAAAGTCTTCCCGACAGGAGGTCGGGCGGCGTGTCCCGCAAAGAGTGTGCGGCGGTGCAAGATGGTTAGCAGATAAAGAGAAAAAAAAAGGAGATTACCGCTGGAGGGGAGGTCGGAAGTTGTGTGGTCCTTGGATGAGGGGAGGTTTGTTGGGATTCCTCCAAGTCCCACACCGGATGAGTAGGAGTAAATGAACCAAAAATATATAGGTTCACCCAACCTCATTAGTATGAGGCTTTTTGGGAGGTGCCCAAAAACAAATCCGTAAGGGCTTGGCCCAGAGCGGACATTATCATACTAATGCGGGGTTGGGGTGAGGGCACGCGCAGTCCCAACACGTCTTAATAATGACAAAGGGGGCCGGTGTTTAACAACCTAACAACGTTAAACACACGATGACGCGGGGGTGATACACTCCTTTCTAGTGCTCTAAAGTAGAAACTCTCGTTTGTTAAGATCATTTTTTAGACTAGACTGTTATTTTTTCAAAGGTACTTCAACATCGTGGAAAAGGGAAAGATACTAAAGTAAGAGGACAACATATCTTTTTCGGATGTTATTTAGATAATAAAAATATGGAATTCATATTTTAGTACTTTTTTATGTTTTACTCCTATTTAGGACGATTTCTATTAGGATTAATAGATATAATAAGAAATATACTTCCTCCGTCCCAAAAAGATTTACACGTTTTGACTAAAGTTGAAATTAAGGGAGAGATAATTTTGTGTTGACTTTCCAAAAATACCCTTGATGTGATGGGTAAAAGTAGGATGTGATGTGTAGATTATTAGGAAAAAGGTATGATGTGATAGGTAGGGTTAGAAAAGGTAAGGGGTAAAAGTGGTTTTTTAATAGAAATGGGTAGGAGATTGTGGGACGCAATTTTTTTGAAAGGTGTAAATCTTTTTGGGACGGATGGAGTATATTATATTTATTTACCTTATTTATTATTTCCTTATTGTATTGTTAACACAATTGTTCTCCTAATATGATTAGAACCTTCTCATGTAATCCCTATATATAGAGAATCCCTATATATAGAAATGTATTTTTCATCACTCAATAAGAATAATTATTATCAAATTCTATCATGGTATCAGAGCCAAAGTTATCAAAAGCAAGACCCTTCCTTTTTTGACCAAGCACATCATCGTATCCGTTCACGGTGGTTGACTGTATGTTAGCCTGCCATCACCGACCGATCTCGATGAACGTGTCGAAAAGCCGTCGTCCATTATCCTGACATCTCTTTCTCTAAAAAAAATCCATTATCTCTTTCTCTCCAAAAAAAATATGTTATCTCTCTCTTCCAAAAAATCATGTGCGTGATCGAAGAATGGGAAAGTTACATTTGTCTGTATTTTTTCTAGAAATCTAGAATATGAAGCAGAGAACAGCCCCAAAGGAGAAAAAGAGAAACTTCTTGGCCTCGTTCCAATCACCAACACTCTCACTAGAAAAAACTCACCAAACATAATATCAAGCTCGTTCGTCATGCAACAAAAATCTATATATATCTTTACTTTATAGGCTATCTTTACAAACATGCTTCCGCCGGCTCAATTCTAGTTTTTGTACTCCCTTTGTGCTAAAACTTTCTTCCCACTTTCCCTTTTTTTCCGTCTTAAAACTACCTTCCTATTAGAAAAAAAAGATGACAAATGACATTAATACCCTCATGTATTTACACCAATTATCTTCTAACTCTATATTTTGAATGATTGCAAAAAATTTCAAAAAATCTTTTTTAAGGAGGGTAAAATTTGAAGTCAAAGCCAAAAATTAAAAATAGGGAAAAATCAAACTGGGAAGAAAGAATTAGGACAGAGAGAGTATTTCCTTATTATATTGTCATCATAGTTGTTCTCCTACTAATTGGAACTCTCTCATGTAATCCTTATATATAGAGATGTATTTGTATTATTCAATAAGACCAATTATTATCAAATTATATCACTCTTGGTGACCTAAAATTCTTTGCGCTCGCTCCTGGCGGGCGGCGCCAGCATAATGCCGCCCGCCGGGCCAGTTTTCTTTTTCAATTTTAAAAATCCACAACTTCTCAAATTGTATCAATTTCTTCATGGCCAGTTTTCTTCATTGGCCTTGTTTGGAGATTAGCAAATAGCGGTTGGCTGTTGGCTGTTTGTGTTGGCTGATTTGACTGGCAGTTTGAATTAGCAGTTTTGACCGGCAGATTGTATTGGTTGTTAAAGAAAAGTTGTTTGGCAAATTCAGCTACTCATAAACCGCTGTTGGTAGTGAAAATTACATTTTTAGACATCCCTCCCATATCCATATATGTAAAAATTAATTTGTTATTGTAATGAGTTTAATTTTTTAAAGTTTGATAAAAATACCAAATTATATAAACAAATAACGTGCTTGAAACTGGACTGCGCAGTTGAAAATTTTAAGAATTACATTTATTGGTGTAGTTTTTTTGCTTTGTCCAACATGAAAAATAATATGAATAATTCTTTTTTGTTAAATATGTGTGGAACTCCACTAAAAAAAGTATACAATATTTTCAATCTCTTGAGTCATACCATACGGAGTATGGATGTATGAAAGGGCAAATAAATAAATTACTCCAAGATGCCAATGAAAATGCTGCACTGATTAGCTTTTCAAATTTCAGCAGTTTGGATCCAAAAGCCAATCTTAAAAGCCACGTTCCAACATTACTTTTGGCTAGTCAAAACTGCCATATATGGTCAAACAGCCAAATATGGGCTGAAATGCCAATTACCAAACAAGACCAATGTCATATTCCGTATTTACCATTTAGGTAGATTTTGTAATTATTTTTAATGTCATTTATTTTTAAATCGGTATAAAAATACAAAATAAAATTGAAAGATGTAACAACTAGATTAAAATATCTACAAAATGAAAATGTGAAGTGACAATCTCCACTCATATCATTTTATTCTTCTCATTTGAAAAAATGTGTAAAATCACATTTTTTTTAAAAATGTATTTACAAATTGGTATATGAATAAAAGATACAAATTACATTATTCAAAACTACATCAAAAGTTTTACAAAATAAGAGTTGACAAGAATATCTTATTTTATCAAATAATGAACGATTAAGGCATACAAAAATAAATTATCTAGAGATCGTTATAATAACTAGATATATAATTAATTTGGGCAGGAGAAAGTACTATTTTATGGTGACAATTTTTTTTTGCACAGTTATCGTGACCAATTGAAATAGGCAAAGTAAGAACATACTCCTTTCCTCTTACTGTTCTTGTCAAGACTGACTTTTTACAAAAACAAAATTTGACCATCAATTAAATAAATATTTTGTACTACATTGTACGGAGTATATTAATAAAATAAAATTATTTTTTAAAACTTATTTTACAAGATAAATCTAACTAACATAATTTTTGTACTAATATGTAATTCAGTTTTTATTTAACCAACGGTTAAAATTCATCTAATTTTATTATAAAAAGTTAAACTTAACAAACATACTCCTCATTAAGTAAAAGTTTAAAATTTTTATTGCGTCCCCATGAGCAGCTCAACTGATTTTAGAGATAGAATTTGGAACAAAATATCAAGGGTCAAGCCTCATCAGTGGCCGTGTAGAGCAACCTCAGCTCTGAAAAAATGAGGGGTGTTTCTTGTGTGTACTGAGCACTGATCTTAGCCTATATTACCGGTTAAGTCATCATAATTTAGCTCCTTTGACATTCTCCTTGGATAAGGGGTGAGGGGTACTCGGGGATGAGCGATTTCACCTTTTTTGGAAACAAGTATTAAATTTTTATCGTTGGGGTTCTAATGACATTGGAACACTGATCCTAGCTTCTATTACCGATTGAGTCATCATTATTTAGCTCCTTTGACATTCTCGTCGGACAAGGGGTGAGGGGTACACGGGGATGAGCGATTTCACCTTTTTTGGAACAAAAAATTGCTGTCAGGTACCCTCAAATTTGTGATAATAACTCCTAGCTAGGTCCCATCATTTTTGAAAATATACTCTGAGTTATCTTAAAATTTCCGAAAACTTACTCTGGGTGACATTCTGTCAATCTACCGTTACTCCGTCATCTTCTTCTTCCTTTTTCACATCTTCTTCCCCATCGACTTTCTTCTTCTTCTTCTTCTTTTTCTTCTCCTTCTCCTTCTTCTTTTTTTCTTTTTTTTTTTTTCTTTCTCTTCTTGTGATACCTTCTTTTGATTTGATGCGGCCCCCCACCCCTCTCTTTTTTTACTTATTTTATTATTATTATTATTATTATTATTATTACTATTATTATTATTATTATTATCATTATCATCACCTTTTTTGTTATTATTATTATTATTATTAGTATTGTCTTTATAAATATCAGAACCTAGTAATTTTTTCACAAATCAAGGCCAAAGTTTGAGAAGAAAATTTTGTTGTAGCACCGGCTTTATGATTCACAAAAAAGATAATAATAATAATAATAATAAATAAAAATAAATATAATAACAATAATAATAACTACTCTATAGCACGGGCTTATGGTTCACAAAAAAAGTTGATAATAGTAATAATAATAATAATAATAATAATAAATAATAATAAAAATAATAACAATTAATAGTAATAATAATAATAAAAATAATAATAATTATTATATAAAGGAAGGAAAAAAAGGAGAGGGTGAGACAAATCGAGAGAAGGGGTCGGAAGAAGAGGAATAAAAAAGGAAAAGAAGAAGGAGAAGAAAAGAATAAGAAGAAGAAAAAGGAGAAGAAGGTCAAAGTCTTGAAGAAGATGAGAAAAAGGAAGAGGAAGAAGATGACGGAGGAATTGGTGTGGACGGAAGATTGACGGAATGTCTCTTCGGGGAAAGTTTTTGAAAATTTTAAGATGTTTTGGAGTATATTTTAAAAAATGATGGGACCTCGAAGTTATTATCACAAAACTGAGAGTACCTGACATTAATTTTTTGTTTTTGGAACAAGTATTAAAGTTTTATTGGTAGGGTTCCCATGACATTGGAACCGTATGTCATGGGATGACCCGGGGCGCTCCGGTACCCCTTTCGTAAACTTGACGGTTCCTACCCTCTCAAGTATCCGATAAACCTCCAACCCCGTCTCGACCCGAACAAACCCCCCTTCCTTCCACTCTTTTCAATTGCACTCCACAAGTTAATTTTGATTGTGGACTCAAAATTTGACTCCAAAGTCAAAATTAACTTGTGGGTGCAATTGAATGGAATGTGGGGATATTTGGGTTGGGGCGGGGTGGGAGGATTTACCATGGATAATGAGGTAGAAATTGTCAATTTTACGAATGGGACACCTGTCATGAGAACGTCCCCAATTTTTATTCATGAGTTGAGGACCTTGACATTTTTTAGGGAAGAGTAATCAACTAATCACTAATCAAACAAGCACTTATTAGTTTTCAACTTTGCAGTTGTGATGCACTATTTTTCCCATCATCATTCATGACTTTTTTTTATAGTTATTCTTCACATACACACGGAGAACAGAAAAAATGAAACTTTTGCTGTGCCTAAAATTTCCTGGCAAAAGGTTTTCATTTCCACTTTTTCTTGAAGAGGAAAGTTCTTATCCTCTTTCCTCCGGTCCTTTCTTCCTGACAAAACTACATTCCAAAAGATCACTACCCATGAGAAGCACAATTCTTGCTTCTGTCACTCTCTTTTTTTCTCTCTTTTACCTTTCCACAGCTTTCGTCCCCCAAGATAATTACATCATCAACTGTGGATCGGGAAGAGATGCTATAGTGGACAACCGAAACTTTCATGGCGATTCAGGCTTAACCCAAGGTAAATCAATTGCAGTGAAAACCCAGGTGAGCGCCAGTTCCAATTTGTCTCTTCTTTACAGTACAGCTAGAGTTTTCACAGCTGTCTCTGCGCCATATTCATTCAAAATCAAGAAATTAGGGACCCATTTTGTGCGTTTGCATTTCTCTCCATTCATTTCTGAGACCTATGACCTGAAGAATGCAAATTTTAGTGTTTCTGCTAATGATGTTTTGCTGTTGAGGAATTTCGGTGTCGGGTCTAATGTGGTTAAGGAGTTCATATTGATGGCTGACAAGGTAGAGCTTACAATCTCGTTTGCCCCAACCCATGATTTTGGGTTTGGGTTTGTTAGTGCGATTGAAGTGATTTCGGCTCCGGACGATCTCATGGTTGATCCGGGCATTAAATTGGTTAGTCCTAATGGGATTACGGAGTTCAATCCGAATGTCACCTTGCAGACCTTAGAGACTGTGTATAGAATTAATGTTGGAGGGCCAAAAATAACACCTTTCAATGATACCCTTTGGAGGACTTGGGTTCCGGATGAAGATTTTCTTGTCTTCAAGGCTGCAGCTAAACCTGCTTCGATTAGTCATGTGCCCAATTACCAAAGAGGTGGTGCCACAAAAGAGATTGCTCCTGATAGTGTTTACATGACTGCACAACAGATGGATTGGGAAGAAGCAACTACGAATTTCATGTTTAATATATCATGGGATTTTCCCCTATGGTCTAAGGAAACTATGGTAGACTACTTTGTTCGGTTGCATTTCTGTGATATTGTTAGTTCTGCTCCAAACCAGTTGTACTTCAACGTGTACATCAATGAAGTCATGGTGTATAAAGATCTTGATCTATCTGCACTTACGTTCCACGTTCTTGCGTCACCATATTATATTGATTTTGTGGTGAACCCTGGGAATAGTGGGCTTTTACAAATCAGTGTAGGTCCATCTGATCTTAGTAGTGTTTTGAAGAAGAATGCTATTCTGAATGGAGTAGAGATAATGAAGATGCTAGGCGTTGTCTCTCCGAATGCTAAGAAGACGAAAATATGGGTTTTTGTTGTTCCCATCATTGGTGGGGTGGTAGCCTTGATGATAATAATTATGGCATTGCTCGCGAAATGTAGGAAAAAGAAACCAAAGGCGAACCGGACAGAGAGTGCTGTGTGGACCCCACTAAGACAATATGGAGGAAGCTCTCCCGGTACGTTATCGGAAGGGACGGGCCTTGTCCCCATGGGCCCAAACGGATTTTTCGGTCTGAGAATTCATTTTGCAGACATACAATTGGCCACAAGTAATTTTGACAAGACTCTGATCATTGGTACTGGTGGGTTTGGCATGGTTTACAAGGGAGTTCTTAGAGACAACAGAAAGGTTGCTGTTAAACGGTGTGTGCCTGGTTCCAAGCAAGGCCTCCCTGAGTTCCACACTGAAATTTCGGTCCTTTCCAAAATTCGGCACTGCCATCTTGTCTCACTTGTTGGGTATTGCGAAGAGCAGGCTGAAATGATTCTTGTGTACGAGTACGTGGAGAATGGGGCTCTAAAGAAGCACTTGTACGGCAGTCAATTGCCCCCACTTTCTTGGAAGCAGAGGCTGGAGATATGCATAGGAGCTGCAAGAGGCCTCCACTACCTCCACACCGGTTTCTCCCAAGGGATTATCCACCGCGACATCAAGTCAACAAACATTCTGCTTGACCAAAATTTTGTCGCAAAAGTTGCCGATTTTGGCCTCTCGAGGTCTGGTCCGTGCCTTGATGAGACCCATGTTAGCACCGGTGTGAAAGGGAGTTTTGGTTACCTTGACCCAGAATACTTTCGAAGACAGCAACTCACGGATAAGTCAGATGTTTATTCGTTTGGGGTTGTGCTTTTTGAAGTTCTTTGCGCAAGACCCGCCGTGGACCCTCTGCTTGAGAGGGAGAATGTGAATTTGGGTGAATGGGCATTGCAGTGGCAGAGAAAGGGTCAGTTACATGAGATCATAGACCCAAAACTTAGAGGTCAGGTAAAACCAAGTGCCCTAAAAGTATTCGGTGACACAGCTGAGAAATGCTTGGCAGATTATGGGGTTGACAGGCCAACAATGGGGAGCGTGTTGTGGAACTTGGAATACGTGCTTCAGCTTCAAGAGAATGAACCTGAGGACGGCGAAGCCCGTCTCCCAAGTTCTGTAGGGTACCCTCCCTTGCCGCGTAGGGCTATTTCCACTGCCAGCTCAGCAGATAACTGTGATGCTGTTTCGGACATATCAACCAGCCAAGTGTTTTCACAGCTGATTACCCGTGAAGGTCGGTAGAGTTTGTTTTACCCTACACAATTTCCAATAATCCTATTTGAGGGCAATCAATCTCTTTAATTAGGACTAGAGAAATGTTCACCTGGTTCTAAAGCAGAACTTTTGTGGCAATTTGTGACATACATTACGCATAACCAGCAAAGTTCCATTTTAACAAATGGCCTTTTAAGAGCTTGATTGAAGTTGGACTTTGAAAGACATTTGGGGAATGGTTTGTTATTAATAGGTGTACTTATACAAATATTTACGAGTACACCCATTAGTTATCACCCCGGTTGATGTGACATTGTGTGCCTGGCAATGTTATAGCATGACCCGGGGCACTTACGATAGTATGTTCAAAAAATTGATGGTTCCTACCCCCACCTTGCCTCGACTTGAACCTACCCCCACTCTCTTCAGTTGCACCTTCTAAGTTTATTTGACTTTGGAGTCAAAATTTTGACTCCAAAGTCAAATAAACTTCGAGGGTGCAATCGAAGGGGGTGGGTTTGCCGGGGAGGTTAGGAGAAGTAAGACTCGTCAATTTTACGAACAGGACACCGGAAGACCTTCGGGTCATTCCATGACATTGATTTATCAATGTCATGGGAACCACTATAGATTTCACTACAATTGAAGCACGTTGTATTGTGAGAGTTGTGAGATGGAATTTATGTAATTTTAGGACGTAGAAATTTGTGTAATTCTCTATAAGGCCATCTCCAACGCATCAGCCAAAGTCTAAAGAATAGAAGTTATATCTGCTACTGTACCCTTTTTGGTGCTCTAACGGAGCTTCCAAAATTTAGACCACAATCTATTTTAAGTTTTAGAGCCTCCATAAATAGACGGTACTGTAGGTTTGCTAAAATCCACTTGGACCACTGGAAAGAGTCACTTGAGTTCTGGAAATTTGCCGGCGGCCTTCTACGTCGGATTTCTACCTCTCCTGTAACGAGCTGATCGGAAACTTGCCGGCCTTAGCAAATCTAGACTTCAATAGGATAGATTTGTTCTTGATGATCTTGACCTAGCATGATTTGAAGCACAGCAAGATCACCGGAAAAAGATGGGAAATCGACGTCTACTTTTTTCCTATGTGAATGGGTAATCAAAGAGATTGCCAGAAAAAGAGGCTTGATTTGGCTTTGGTTTCTCCAAAGTGAAGGTTTGATATGAAAAAATACACTTGATCCGATAAAATAAGGTAGAGAAATAGGAGATGTGGTTGGAGTTCACTTTAAAAATTTAACCTCTAAAGTACTGTACATAGTCTAAAAATACCATATAGCTTCTCATTTTTAACACCTCGGTTGGAGATGCTCTAATGATATTTTTCTTTACAAGCCATTGCATTTCGTGTTGGGTGTTACTTCACCTGTGATAGAAATTAAGAACATTTTCTTTTGAGTAATTTCCATAAAAGCTTCTCAGTTACATATTTAGTCTTTACATATCAAATATTACTAATTTAGTCCCTAATTATTATATCATTTTTCACAAATGGTCCTTTGTTAACGTTTTTGTTAAAAACATGGATAGAATTGTATATTCATACTTCTTTCTCTACTCAATTAAGCTTCCTTCCTTCTCTCGTACTCTTTTCCAAATTCGTCGCTGAGTTTGAAGCTCTATATCCAAAATTGAAATGATCGTTCCTCTCTCAATTATTAGTCTACTTGGTGGATCTTAAAATCAAAACCAATAAGCTTTATGGATGAGTTTATCGGTTAGTCTCAAGAAATTGTAAAGAAAATAAACACTAAAACTCACCTATGAAGGTTACTGATTTCGAATTATCGAAAAAAATTGTACTGAATTATCGGAAAAAATCACAAGTTGGGTAGTTCCATTTTAGAAAAAAACAATGTGGATAATAGAAGATTATCAATAAACATTTCAGACTGTTGTTCATGAAAAAATTGCAATACAAAAAAATTGTAGCGAGTTATAAAAATAAAAGTTCCATTTCAGAAAAAAATTATTGTGTAATTTTCACAAATGTTGTATTTTTATTTTGCAAAAAAATATATATAGAATTATCTAAAAATATTCACAAGTTTTGTAGTACCATTTTAAAAAAATAATAATAATAGTATATAGCATCAAAAAAGAATTCCAAGTGTCGAATTACATATAGAAAATTAGAAAAAGATGAAAAATATAAAAGAGAATCCTTCTATCCCATATCGGCTGCGGAAGAAACAACAATGCGAGCACCAGAGTATAAATGCAGGCCAAGGGGCAGAGAGCTCCAAAGTTACCTGGACTGGGTCAATGGATGATCAAGAAGGCCCATGGCCTAGGTTGATGACTTACATTGCACTTTGGAAGGGTGTCTGCCTAAGGTCTACCCAAGAGGTGGAGCCTATGTCATAATTTGTAGTACCATTTTAAAAAATAATAATGATAGTATATAGCATCAAAAAAGAATTCCAAGTGCCGAATTACATATAGAAAAAGATGAAAAAAAATAAAAGAGAATCCCTCTATCCCATATCGGCTGCGGAAGAAACAACAATGCGAGCACCAGAGTATAAATGCAAGCCAAAGGGCATAGAGCTCCATAGTTACCTGGACTGGGTCAATGAATGATCAAGAAGGCCCATGGCCTAGGTTGATGACTTCAATTGCATTTTGGAAGGGTGTCCGCCTAAGGTTACCCAAAAGGTGGAGCCTATGTCATAATTTGTGGTAGTGGGGCCAGCGTTCGCACAGCCCCTATCCAATCATTGTTCAAATATTGATTGATATTTTTATGTTGTCGTAGTAAACATTATTTATTCCCTTTGTCCCTCCATTGATGTGTAATTGACTTTATTTAAAGTTATTTTTAATTGATGTTATATGAAGATTGCTATAGGATTAATCATGGATAAATAATGGAATAATCATATTCCCTTACAAAAAAGAGTTAATCTTTGACTTTTTTAAACTTTTATCTCATGTTACTAATTAAAAACAGATCTCTTGTTTGTTAGCACCTGATAAGTACTCGATAAGTTTTTGGCCCGGCACACCCCACCAAATCAATACCATTTTTTATTTTGTTTTTCCATCCTCTTCTCTCAATTTATTTTTAAAACTAATATTGCATGTCGGAAAATAAAATATAATATTTTATTTCTCATATACTTGGGTAGTAATAGTTTTTATTTTTTAAATTTAATGAATATGTGATAAAAGATCGTATTTTGATTTAAATTTAAAATTGTTATATTTATAAATTTTGTTTCAAGATCACATATTCCTGTATTTTATGGGTTAGTATACTCGAGCCTCCACTCTAATAAAATTTCCTCCACTTCCAAAAAGTACTGCCACAGTAAAAAATTATAGCCCAAATACAACCCATTACATATTTTAGCCAATTTAGCTCAAAAATTACTTCTATATCCCAATCTATATATTGTTGCCTCAATGTTTTCCTGTCTATACGTTTGACTCATATATGGAAAGTGTTAACAATACCAATTATGTTGCCTTAATGTTTTCCTTCCATTTTAATTATGTTTCCATTTATATTTAAATGCTATACCATTTAAGTATTTAAATTAAATTAAAAAATTAAATGGTAGCAAACCACTAGAGAATTATAGTATGGAAATAAAATATGGTACCATTTAAATACGAAAATAAAATAAAAAACTACAAACTAAGAAAGTACCGGAGGGATTAGAATGACTTATTTAAAAAACTACAAAATAATGATTTATCTCAAAAAAAAAATATTATAATTTACAAGCATGGACATGTAAACACGGTAAGTTTTCTAAAATAAATTAGAAACTAAATATAGTACAATAAGAAAATGGTAAAATTTAATACGAATATAAAATGAAAAATACAAATTAATATTAATAATTTAATTTCAAGCATAGAAACATTTTAAAAATGGTAAGTGTTCTAACTAGAAAATTCGAAAATAAATACGGTACGGTAAGCAAATGGTACCATTTAAACACGAAAATAAAATAAATGGTAAGTGTTCTAAAATAAATTAGAAAATAAAATAAATCTAAAATTGGTAAGTGTCCTAAAATAAATTAGAAAATAAATGCAGTATGGTAAGTAAAAGGTACCATTTAAAAACAAAAATAAAATAAAAAAATTACAAATTAATATGAATAGTATAATTTACAAACATGAAAACATTTTAAAAATGGTAAGTGTCCTTATTAGAAAATTAGAAAATAAATACGGTACACTAAGCAAATGGTACCATTTAAACACGAAAATAAAATAAATAGTAAGTGTCCTAAAATAAATTAGGTAAGTGTTCTAAAATATATTAGAAAACAAAATAAAAATAAAATGGCACGTTTTCTAAAATAAATAAGAAAATAAATATGGTAGAGTAATTAAGTAAATGGTGTCGGAATACGAAAATAAAATAAAAAACTACAAGTTAGTAATATTAATTAATAATATAATTTAGGGAGAAAAACCAAAGTAGAACTAAAACATTGAAGATATACCAAAATAGGACTTCCATGTTTTTATTCCCGAAATAGGACTTACATTACCAAACATAGTCATATACATTACCAAAAACGTATGCTAATGTGCACATGTACACTGTCACATTACCACAATGCAAAGTTACATTACCACATTGCAAAGTCCTATTTTGGGAAAAAAACATGAAAGTCCTATTTTGGTACTTTTCTCTATGTTTTAGTCCTATTTAAGGTGATTTCTATATAATTTACAAGATGGAAACGTGTAAAAATAGTAAGTGTTTAAAAATATATTACAAAATAAATATGGTACGGTGAGTAAAAGGTACCATTTACATGATATGATATTTTTAATTAAATTGTGTAATATAATTGATCTAAAAATGTGTCACCATGCCATACGAGGTTTATACTAATATTCTTTTCAATTTTAACATCATTGAGTGAATTGAATTATAGTATAGGTAAAGATCCTCACTTTTAATTAAATATTATATTTTCTAATCTTACAATATATTATATTTTTCTAATCAGATGCGATCCAATAAGATAGGAATAGGTATAAGAATAGGAATATGTTCTCTTCGCCTAATCTGAATGATTCTAATATTATTGGAATAAGTTTTGATCTAATAAAAATGTAGTTATATTTAAATTTGTTTCTAATTTGATCTGAACGGATTCCAATAAGAAAAAATAATAAGCAATAAGAATAAGTTGAAGAGAATAT